TTTTTCTTGTGCATGACTTCAAGTTTCAAAGAATTATGGTCTGAAAATATGCAGGGGACAATCCCAATCTTTTGGTATCACTTGAGACCTCATTGTGACCCAGTATGTGGCCTATTCTGGAGAAAATTCCATGTGCACTTGAGAAGAATGTGTATTCAGTTGCGTTTGGATGTAAAGTTCTGTAAATGTCTGTGAAATCCATCTGATCCAGTGTATCATTTTAAAACTCTTGTTTCTTTGGAGATGTTGTGCTTTGATATGTCATTTGCAGAAAGTGCCGTGATGAAGCCTCCCAGTTAGTGTATTATCTAAGTATGTCTTTACTTTGGTTATTAATTGATTGATATATTTGGCAGCTCCCACATTAGGGGCATAAATATTCATGATTTTAGGTCCTCTTGCTGGATAGATCCTTTTGGTATGATATAGTGTCCTCCTTCATCTCCTACTATAGTCTTTGTGATAAACTTAATTTATCTCATATGAGGATGGCTACCCCTGCTTTCTTTTGAGGACCATTTGAATGGTAAATGGTTCTGCAACCTTTTATTTTCAGGCTGTAAGTGTCCTTAGGTCTAAAATGAGTCTCTTGTAGACAGCAAATAGACGGATCTTGCTTTTTTATCCAGTCTGAAACCCTGCGTCCTTTGATGGGATCATTTAGCCCATTCATGTTGAGAGTAACTATTGCAAGATATGAATTTAGTGTCATCGTAATACTATTCAGTCCCTGTTTTTGTGGATTATTTCTTTGGGCTTCCCCTTCCTTTCACAGAGTCTCCCTTGCAGAGCTGGTTTGGTGGTCACATATTCTTTCAGTTTCTGCCTATCTTTGAAGCTCCTTATCTCTCCTTCTATTCTGAATGAGAGCCTTGCTGGATAGAGTATTCTTGGCAGCATGTTCTTCTCACTTAGGACCCTGAATATATCCTGCCAGCCCTTTCTGGCCTGCCAGGTCTCTGTGGATAGATCTGCTGTTAATCTAATATTTCTCCCCATATAACTTGGATCTCTTGTTTCTTGCTGCTTTAAGGATTTTCTCTTTATTTTTGTAATTTGCAAGTTTCGCTATTAAGTGTTGAGGTGTTGAATGGTTTTTATTGATTTTAGCTAGGGACTTCTCTATCTCGTGGATCTGAATGGCTGTTTCCCTCCCCAAATTAGGTAAGTTCTCAGCTATGATTTGTTCAAATATGCTTTCTGGTCCTCTGTCCCTTTTGGCACCCTCTGGAACCCCAATTATACGTAGATTTTTCCTTCTGAGGCTGTCATTTATTTCCCTTAACCTATCCTCATGATCTTTTAATTGTTTGTCTCTTTTTTCCTCAGCTTCCTTCCTTGCCATCAACTTGTCTTCTATGTCACTCACTCTTCTATCTCAAAAACCCTCTAGTTTAGATTGCATCTCATTTGATTGATTTTTAATTTTGGATGGTTAGATCTAAATTCTGCAGTCATGAAGTCTCTTGAATCCTTTATGCTTTTTTCCAGGGCCAACAGTAGCTTTATAATTGTGCTTTTGAATTGGCTTTCTGACATTGAATTGTAATCCAAATTCCGTAACTCTGTGGCAGAGAGTACTGTTTCTGATTTTTTCTTTTGTGGTGAGTTCTTTGTAATCATTTTGCTTAGTGCAGAGTGGCTAAAAACAAGTACTGGAAAAGGGATGAAAAACAAAACCAAAAAACAAAAAACATACAACAACAACAACAACAACCAAAAAAGGGGGATCCTCTGATTCTATATATTTTAAATCCCTCAACTTCCCCTGAAGCTTTCCAGCATTGCTTGGTCAAGAACTTGCTCTTCCCCTGTCCTTCCAGCTGATCTTCTGGGGGCCTGCTGTGCTGATTCTCAGGGGTGTGCATCTGGGGGAGCTGCTCCGCCCCCTGCCAGGTGCACGGCTCAGTGGGAGCTGTTTATCCTGTGAGGCCCCTGTTCCCTGGTAGCCCCGCTCCATCCCAGGCACAGGGTGACACAGGAGGACAACAACACTGGCCGCGGCCAGCTCTCCAGCCCTGGAGTCAGCTCCTGCAGTGACTCCCACAGTCTCCCAGTCTCACTGGCCTGGGTGCCCCCGGGGGTTGCGGGTGCTGATCTGCGCAGCTTGGGGGCACCCAGCAGCAGGAGCGTCCTCGCTGTCCTGTGCCCTCCCCGCCCCCGCCTGTCCTGGGGGGAAGCGCAGGGTCCTGGGCTGTGGCCCCGGGGCTCTGGGCTCCGGGGCCTGCGCTGCTGCAATCGCGCTCCCGGGCGCGGCTCCCGAAGACAGCAGGGACCAGCCCCCTCCGCCCCGAGCCGCCGCAGGAGCTTCCCGAGGCCCCGCCAGGCGCGTTGCAGCCCTTCGCCGAGCTCGGCCGGTGGCGGGGGCGCTCTCCCCGGCGGCTGCCTCGTTAGTGGCTCCGGGAGCCTGGAGGCTCCACCGCCCTCCTGCGCTCTGCCCGAGCTCCCTGCTAAGCGCCTTTGCGTCCGGGAAGAATCCCAGGCGGATTTTTAAAGTTCCTGCTTCAGGACTGACTGGGCTTTCCTATCCCGGGAGGCTTTTGCCACCTGGCCTTAGCCCGGCTCCTCCCAGCGGGTGGCCCTCCCCCAGTTGATTCTTTTTTTTTTTTTCCCTGCCTTCCTATCTCGTTAGAAGCAAAAACCCTTCTCTCTGTAGGGTTCCAGCTGTTCTCTCTTCAAATCTCAGGTCGAATTCGTAGGTTTTCAGGATTTGAAAGTTTCTAGGTAAGTTGGTGGGGACAGGTGACTTGGGGACCCTACTCCTCTGTCATCTTGCTTCACCCCTTCTGGAGAAATATCTGTTCGTGTCTTCTGCCCATTTTTAAATTGTCTGTGTGTGTGTGTTGAGTGTTGAGTTATAGATGTTATAGAAGTTCTTCATATTTTGGTTATTAAACCCTTCAACAGATGTATCATTTGCAAATGTCCTTTCCATTACAGTATGTTGCCTTTTGTTTTGTTGATGCTTTCCTGCACTATGCGGAAGCTTTTTTTTTTTTTTCAGAAGCCTTTTAGTTTGATGTAGTCCCAGTAGTTTATTTTTGCTTCTGTTTCACTTGCCTTAGGAGATATATCTAGAAAAATGTTAATATGGCCAATGTCAAAGAATTTACTGCCTATGTTCTCTTATAGGAGTTTTAGGGCTTCAGATCTCACATGTAGATCTTTAACCCATTGTGAGCATATTTTTTGCGTATAGTGTCAAAGAAATGGGTAGGAAATATCAGAAAGAACATGAAGACAGAGACAGAGAGACAGGGAGACAGAACATGAAGACTCCGAACTCTGGGAAATGAACTAGGGGTGGTAGAAGGGGAGGAGGGTGGGGGGTGGGGGTGAATGGGTGACGGGCACTGAGGGGGGCACTTGACGGGATGAGCACTGGGTGTTATTCTGTATGTTGGCAAATTGAGCACCAATAAAAAAGAAATTTATTATTTAAAAAAATTCTTGAATACAAACAAACAAACAAAAGAAAATAATCCAGGTTCATTCTTTTGCATGTAGCTGTCCAGTTTTCCCAGCTTTAATAAGTGGAAGAGATTTTTGTCCCATTGTATATTCTTGCCTCCTTTGTTGTAGATTAATTGACCGTGTAAGCATGGGTTTATTTCTGGAGTCTCTATCCTATTCCATCGATCTACATGTCTGGTTTTGTGCCAGTGTCTGTTTTTGCGCCAGTACCATACTGCCATACTGTTTTGATTACTATAGTTTTGTAGTATATTTTTTTATTTTATTTATGATAGTCACACACACACAGAGAGAGAGAGAGAGAGAGAGAGAGAGAGAGGCAGAGACACAGGCAGAGGGAGAAGCAGGCTCCATGCACCGGGAGCCCGACGTGGGATTCGATCCCGGGTCTCCAGGATCGCGCCCTGGGCCAAAGACCGGCGCTAAACCACTGCGCCACCCAGGGATCCCTGTAGTATATTTTGAAATCTGGGATTGTGATACCTCCAGCTTTGACTCCCATTTAAGTAGGGGCTGTTGAATCATTATTTGGAAGTGTGAAATTTATCAAATTTGGAAGTGTGAAATGATTATTTATCAAAGTGTGAAATGATCATTTATCAAATTAAATTCTTTTAGAATGCACAATAAGACTTTACCATTTTGAAAAGATCAGAAAGATATTGAAAAAGATATCCCAATATAGACCTCTGTATTCTATAAACATATTCCAAGCATGGGCTATGGACCAAGTACCCTTCCACATACAGTGACAAAGCACAGACACTTTAATGCCTGCTCTTGAGGGGTGGCCAGTGATAAGAGCACACCCCAGGGCTGGACAGTGATAGTGTCATTGGAACATGGGATCCAGTGGACCTGGGGAGGTGATATGAGCAGAGATGGGACTGGAAAGACTGCAGAAGGTGGGCTAGACCCAGATTCATGTAGGCCCTGAGAGCCGCAGTTAAGAAAGGTGGGCCAGGACACCATCAGGAGACCTCAGAGGGGGCCAAGAGCATGGCCTGATTGTTACATTATCTCTGAAGAGATTCTTAAAAGACTCTGCTAGTACAGCAAGTCATAGCACTGCAATTTCTTTTTTGAACTGTTTGATTATATCTCAGTGTTTCTATATTTGATGATAAAATCCATATTTCCACTTTCCAGAAAACTTAGGCAAATATAATTGATAAATATTAATCTGAGAACCCAGATAAGTCTTGTTTCCAGGAAACTCCACTGTTAAAAAGCTAGTAAAGAGTCTCCAAATTTGAATTTTAGCATCTCCAGTGAGAAACATGTGCAAACACTCGAGGTTACTTTTTCTCTCCTTTGTAACCTTCACCAAGCTGCTTTTCATGAGGCCATACATTTAGAGGTCAGCAGTATCTTCCTTCATACCATATTATGGAAAGAATTCCTAACATGTGCTTTGAGAGTGATATTACCTAAAGCTTCAGAGAGGTGTCTGAGGTTTGGCAGTCTGGGCACATGCAAATAAGACTGCTCTCGGTGTGACTTGGGGCCTACCTTTTCTCTTACAGGTGCTGCATACGGTGGCTGAAAGTTGCAAGCCTGTTTGTCTTTGTGGTGGTGTGCTCTGTGAGTATCACAGAGCTCTGCTGATGGGTCAGCAGAGCTCCTGGGTGCCTTGGGCTGGGTAGCAAGGCATCTAACATATAGGGCTCACGCCTTTCTTTGGAGGAGATGCTGAGGGGATGTGGGATTGTGAGCTGAGGTTGGTGACAGAGGCCTCTCCTTAGCAATGGTCCTCTGCTGTGATAAAACAGAAGCCCTGGGGACCTGACTTTGATATGTAGAAGGCAGTTAGCTTCATCCTTTGGGTCTAACTTTCCACCTGAAAGCAGCTTACCAATTCTGTTTTCAACCATGCAATAAATTGTCTTTATTTGTGTTGGGACGTGTCCAATATCATGAGTGGCCCCAAGAATGTGTCTTACTGCCGGCATTTGTGTAGGGTGTATTCTAATGTGGCCCTAGCTAGAATCACATTGTGGGAGCTCAGAATATTTTGCCAAATGAATGAGTGTGAGATTCTTTTTTTTAAGATTTTATTTATTTATTCGTGATAGACATAGAGAGAGAGAGAGAGGCAGAAACATAGGCAGAGGGAGAAGCAGACTCCTTGCAGGGAGCCCGACGTCGGACTCGATCCCAGGACTCCAGGATCACGCTCTGGGCTAAAGGCAGGCGCTGAACCGCTGAGCCACCCAGGGATCCCCCGAGTGTGAGATTCTTTGTGCTCAAGTGTGCATATCTCTGTGTGTACACATGTATGCGCATGCCTGACTGTGTGTGCACATGTGGATGTGAAGTCCTTTGTGCCTGCTGTGTGTTTGTGTGTCTGCATGCCTGTGTGTGACATGTGGGGCATTTGTGGTCTGTGATCACTTAGAAGTTGCGTCTGTGTTTGGGGTCTTATTTCTGGGTATGTACCAATTTTCAGCATTGGCATAAGACACTTTGCATAATTGTTGGGAGACTCCAGTGGGTGGCTGATGCATGCTGGTGTGATAACACATGAGATTGTGAACAAGGATGGAGTATGTGAATGGTGTTTTCATGACTGTGCTATGTGGACTTCAGGACGTGTTGGTTGTGCCTCTTCTATGCAGGCAGCCTATGGTTATGGCCATGCTGAACCCTGCATGACTGGAAACTACATATGATCACATGTGGCTGTGAATAGTTGGTTTTCATTATCTGCATATGTGGGCATGAGTATCAGGACTCTTTGTATGTGTGCAGTTTTGTGCATGAGAAGAGTCTCCTCAGTGTAACATATAGAGAACAATATTGCATCTTGAGCAGTGAGGGTAGTTCATGAAGTCAATATTGGCTGAATTTAATTGAATATCTGCAACCCTTTAAAAACCCACAAAGGTTGGGGGGGGGGAAGCAGTGACCCAGAGAAATTATGCATGAAATAAGGAACAAACACATTGAACTTTGAAAACTTCATGTTTTTACTTTTTTAGCTGCCAGTTTGCCTCTCTACTTCCTATTCACACAATTGTGTGGTTCTAAAGCTTTGGCTGCTTAGCAGGGCCTGGTAGGTGGGTGCACTGGGATTTCCAAAAAGAAAGTCAGCGTGGGCCAGGGCTTTCCTGAGTTCCTGAGGATTGACCTGAGCTCTGTGTCTAGTCTTCACCCTTCTTCTGGGATTTAAAGTTTTGGTGATTTGAGAAATTTGTTTTGAATGTCTATAACCTATCTTATAATCACTTCAGTGTCTTTCTGGTAAGGTATAATGTGCGCTGCAAATTCCATAAACACATACTTTAACCATCACATGGGTTGTTTCCCCTTTTCTCCAGTATGGAAAAAGTCATGTTTACCTCTCTCTGATGATTTAATTTTGTGGCTAAGTGGTAAATAAGCAAATATTAAAAATCAAGATCCATTGTAGTGGAGAATAGTATACTGAATCAGAATTTTATCTCTTAATATCTAAGAAAAGATATTTAGAGTGAGCTGGTGAATGTTGGATACATCAGTCAATGCCATTATCATACCCATATTTTCAACTTTTGTCAAAATTATTTAAATCCTATTGTTATCCTGCCACAAATCTATCATTAAATGTTTCTGATTGTTACAGATTTTATTCAGCCTGTATCCAGATCAAGGAAAGTTCTGGCAATTGTTGGCTCTGTCACCACTGCAAAGCTACTGTATCCAGTCTATTCTGAGATGGATAGTTTACAAAGAGACACCACAGAACTATTTTAGCTGTTGCTAAAGGTCACAGCATAGGTGATCACCACTCCACCTGTGCATATTTTGTTCCTTCAGGACATTTGATGAAAGATGGGCCAGTGCAGAAGGAGAGGGGAGCACCAGTAAGACTATAATGGGTGGTTGGTGGTGACAACATCCAAGTGGCACATTCTAGTTAGGGCCTGACTCACCTGGGCTCTTGCATACTCTGGTTTATACTCTGTCCCCACTTCCTTTTGCATTTCAGTTTAGGTGGTTTCTACTGACCTGTTTTTAAGTTCATTGCTTCTTTTTCTTGGCTGTGTCATCTGGGCATGATGATTATTGGTTTCTTCATACTGTGTTTTCTCTTGCCTTTTTGTAGGCCTCATAGTTTGTCACTAGAACCTGGATGTGTTGTATAGGATAGTAGATATTGAGTGTATTAGTCAACTTGAACTGCCATGAGGAAATGCCACAGTCTTGGGGTAGCAGACACTTACAGTGCTGGAGGCTGGACATCCAGAGTCAAGGTGCTGGCCAACTTGATTTCTGGTGGAGATCTCTTTCTGGCTTGCAGATGACTGCCTTTCTTGCCATTGCCATGCCGTGTGTGTATGTGGGGAAAGAGTACATTCTCTGGTGGCTGTTCTTATAAGGTCACAATCCTCTCAGATCAGAGTCCCACCCTATGACTTCATTTAACCTCAGTTACTTCCTTAGAGGCACCATCTCCAGATACAGCCACAATGGGGGGCAGGGCTTCAACATATGATCTTGTGGTGGAGATAAGCATTCAATCCATAGCACTGTGGGCTTTAGTTGAGAGTCTGTAAATCTAGTCAGAGGTCAGCTATGTTGCAGTGTGTGGTTGCCATGGTAGCCTGTAGCATCCCAGACACTTGGAATTGCTTGGCTTCTTTCCTGCTGTCTGCCAGGCTGTGCACTCTTCCTACTTCCCACAAGGGGAAGCTGCTGTGCCCTTAGAGTACCAGATTTGATGCACTTCCCCAGGAAATTAAGGCTGTTTCATGAGTCTCCTAATTTCTCCATCTTCTTTGTGGGTACGTGCTAGGGTTGTGGAGCAAAATCTCATATAAGAAAATGTAAACACCCCAATCATGTGGATGCCAGAGCCTTGCTACTGTCACAGTAACCCATACTTGACCTTGAACAGGTAAAAAAATTTTCTGATTTATTTTTTTAAGATTTTATTTATTTATTCATTAGAGACTCAGAGAGAGAGAGAGAGAGAGAGAGAGAGAGAGAGAGAGAGAGAGATACACAGGCAGGGGGAGAAAGAGGCTCCTTGCAGGAAGCCCAAAGCAGGACTCGATTCTAGGACTCTGGGATCATGCCCTGAGCAAAAGGCAGACGCTCAACTGCTGAGCCACCCAGGTGTCCCCAAAATTTTCTGATTTAATTTTGCCTGCTTCTGTGTATGGTAGGAACACCTGTCTTAGAGAAGCAAACACTTGGCCCTATTTCTCCCCACAGTCACCTGTCTCACTCTAGATTTCAAGTTAAATGTTTCTGATGCAACCTCATTCTTGACAGAATAAGTCATTAACTTAACATCTGTCTAGCCTAGAGTAGGAGTGGTGTGATCCCCTAGAAGATGGATCCTGCCTTCCTTTCATGTGACCTCACTGCAAATGATCAAAAGCTGCTGCCTAGGCTGACCCCAGGGCTTGGAGGGATCTTATCCAGAAACAGTCTTCATTGAGAACCAGACAGGGAGGGCAAAATATTTGCGGGTTGCTGAGTGATTACTGTACTGTGGCAACTCCTGGATAAACCTTATCAGTCAGCAGAAATCCTAAGTAAACATAACGAGTAAGAATAATAACGGGGTAAAATCAGATGATAACAAATAAGAGTCTTATTTATCCCGCTTAGAACTGTGCTATGTCACTTTTACTCCACACACTGTACATGGTCTTCCTTCTAGAGCAGCCCAACTCTTTCCTGGGACTTGAATGAGCCCAAGCCCATCCTAATGGCTGTCAGGCAAATGGTTTTACTTAGCAGCAAGAGTAACTGGGGAGTTCTTGCTCTTGTTTCCTGAGCAATGTGCATATTTAGATGAAGAGAGAGAGAGAAGTACAAGAGACGGAGAGAGCTGTGTGAAATGATAGGAATGCTACAGAGTGGTTCTTGTGTGTCTGTGGATCTGTTAAAGAAAAAAAGTGTTCAGTGACACTTGTTAAAGATGGCAAGTCACATTTTATTCAGGACCTTAGTGATACTTGTAGAGACTACTGCAGTGAGGTCTTACAATGGGGAGAGATTGAGCTTGAAAAGTGGTACTTTAAAGCCAAGGAACAGGGTAGGAGGCAGAGGATGAAAAACTATGAAGAGGAAATGTCATGGGTGATAAGAAATTCTGGCCAAACTGACCTCACAGGATTCTTGTGGAAGGCAGGCCAGAGTGAACAACATCCCGAGGGAATGGAGGAGCATGAGGAACCTGATCAAATATTGAATGTGATTAGATATGAAAAATGGAGATTCTGACTAAATCAACCTAACAGGATTCTTATAAAACTGACCTTGTAGAGAGGAGTACCGAAGCCCCAAAAGTCAGAGCTTAGTCTTAGAGAAGAAAGTTCAAAGGAGCGTGACTAAAGTTTGGCCAAAGAGAGACTCTGTCAATGATTAATCTTTATAAAGGCTGATTTAAGCTTCCCAGGGGGGTCTTTAGAAGATGTACATTGTTCTCAATAGATTTTCCAAACAGACTACATTTCTGAAAGCTCACAGACCCTCTCCCAGGACCCTAGGCTGAGAACTTGCTGTGAGTGTTTGTGAAAGGAGAGATCAGAGGTCAGAGGTCCCCGTCAGATGCCCACAGAGAGCCAACTGCTGCTGGTATCTGCAAAAGGTGGGGGCAGAGTCAGGGGAGGCTAGTCTGTGTACCAGAGTTTGGACCTTTGAAGGTGATTCTCAGCAAAGGGGTGTTATTGTGCAGGTCTGAGGCAGAAAGTGATTCAGGCCTGGTTTTGAAAAGCAAGTCGTGGTCTTCTCTTTGTTGACCTCATGAGTGAAGAGCCCCACTGTTTCCTTCTTAACTTCTGGCCAGACCCCAGGGGTGTGTTTTGGTGGCAAGTGCTTTTGGAGAAATCCTTTCTATCTTTTAGCTGGAGAATAACAAAGCTGCCTTTTCCCCCATGATGTTTTATTTGTAACAGACAGTAGGGCTTTGTCACCTCAGTAATTTCAGGGCTTATTTTAGCAACTTTTTGAAACAGGAAGTGGCTGTGATTGCAGGCACCTGATGTTCTTTTTCCCTGAATTGTTCTCTGTGCTTATTATGGGGGACACCTGACCAAGGCTCCTAGGTCATTAGACAGATGAATAATGGTCAGCAAGCCAGATTATATATAAGCAAGTTAATTAGGCTTGCTCACTGGCCTTCCTCCCTTCCCTCCCTCCCCCCTTCTTCTTCCCTTCCTTCCCTTCTTTTCCCTTTATTTCTTGACATATGGTCCATTTTCCATCACACCCTTCATAGTAGCCCTGGGCTTTCAAAGTACACAAAGAAAACACTATACATGTTATAGGATTTTGTCTCCTGTTCTTCTCTTACATCCTAAGCTCCTTATACTACCTCATAATTATGTTGTCCAATGATAGTCACTAGTCACATGTGGCTCTTTAAATTTAAATTCATGTTAATGAAGTAAGTAACATTAAAGTTTCACTTCCTCATTCACACCAACCACATTTCAAGTGCTTAATAGCCATATGTGATTAGTGGCTACCATATCAGACAACATGGATATACAACATTTCTATTATCACAGAGAATTCCATCTGCCAGCATCACTCTAGAAATTAAGGGCAATCATTCATCCATTTGGTCCCAAATGCTGGAGAAAATACATTAGCACTAGGAGGATTATTTTTTGATGAATTTATCAATCTTAAAAGTTTTATACTTTATCAAATGACATTGCTCCCATTTTTATCAAGAAGGTGAGTCTAAAGAAACCCCACTTTCTTACCTCCATTCAACTAAACAAAAGTTGTGTCAAAGAAAAATTGTATCACATAAACAGGTAAAGAAAGCTTTATTCAAGACTATTGCAATATGGGAAAGATTTAACTCCAAATACAACAGGGTAAACTGGGAATCTACAGAAGGGTAAGGGCAAGGGTGAGGATGGAAAGTTACCAAGGGAACGTGGTTGGGCATTAAGAGTGAAGGGATTCTGAAAAAAAAATGAGTGAAGGTATTCTTTGTACACTGGGCTCCTCAGGCCAAGGTTAAGGCTTAATCAAGAAGAGGACTCAGAGGACTCAAGTTTGGTTAAGGAGGAGGTCCTGACCAGTGTTGACCGAACTTGGCATTTGATTGGCTCTGTAGCAAACTGAAGGGTAAGTCCTAGAGAACTCTATAGTTTAGATAGAAATGAAGGCCCATTTTCAGGCTCTTGTGAATTTGTTCCATGTCCAGTGTCCAGTAGCAGCACATTGCCGGCTGTTTAGAAGTGTTTTGGTCATGTGTTTTTCTCCCCACCACATACAGGCTGCCAAGACAGCTGCCTGCACTGGGACAACCAGAGCAGAGTCAATGGTTATACTCATTAGAAGTACAACAGGAAGATGATTAACCAGGAACTCAGAAGAGGGATGTTTACGGGGCTCACAGAGTGAGAAGAAGGTTTATGGACGGCATCTCAAGTTAGCTCTTGAAATATAACTTTTATTTGGGTAGTGGTAAAGGCAGGAACTAGAGAAAGGAGGCAATTTCTCTCTGGCTTCTCCATGCCCCTGGATCTGGCAGAGACTCTGGTCTAGGTTTGGAGGATTAAGCTTCAAGGATGATGCTACAAACAAATATTATTGATGGAAAAAGTATTCGTTGGGGCATCTAATATGGTCAGAACTACATTAGTTTCTAGAGAAGTAGAGAAATGAATAAGATGCAGTTACTCTTCTTGAGGAGTGAGACCAGTTGGGGAGAAAAATTTAAAACAACTGCAGTATGGCGTGAGCCCAATATACAGAGGAACACTGGAAGAAGCCAGAGGATCTACTGGAGTTGTGGATGACAAGGAAAGATATAAGGAGAGGAAAGCTTGAGTGAGAACTCAAAAGATGGTAGTAGTTCTTCAGATTTGGGGAAGGCATTTGAGGCAAAGGCAGAGAACTATGTGTTATGAGCGTTGCAGACAGTTCAACATGGCTGGAAAGCAAGGATTGAAGCTGCCTGCAGGGGTGAGGCTCAGTTAGAGGCTCCGGTTTTCAGGGATCTGGAAGTCACAGTTGACACCAGAGCATCCCAGTAGGCTTTGAATCCTAAGTGCATGGTGGGCATCTAGAAAGAGAAAAGGAAGGGTGGAAGTACCTGTTGTCCTGTGTCTATATGATTTTGTGTGCATTCCATTTAGTTGGTTAATCATAGTGTGCTTTGTTACATGATTGTCTCCACAACAGGGTATGAGATACCCCCTGACCCTCAGGACAAAGGTCTTATTTTATTCATTCATTTCTTGGAACCCAATAGATGCTCCAACAACATTCGTTAAATCTAAGGGTGAAGCCACTGCTTTTCCAATGTTGGCCTCAAGGTGGTGCTGTTCTGTCTTTTGGGTTTCTGCAAGGTCTCTGGAATCCTTTCTGAATTGAAATTCTCTCTACCCTGTAGTTTGTATTCGCCCTGGGGAAAGACCAGGACAGGAGTAATTTTGGCAGAAACAGCAGTGTCTCTTTGCGCCTTTTCTTAATACATCCTGCCTAATGTGTGACTTCCATTTTCCATTTGTCCTTGATGGAACCCAAGTAACAGCATAGGTGTGTGGAGAGGCTTTCCAACCAAGTGTTGGGGATGGTTGCTCATTCTGGGCTCTCATGATGGACAACAGGGCTGATAAAGCACTTTCTTTACCAGGATGTTTTATTTGTACAATTTAAACCAGTACATTGTGCTGGAGGAAATAGATAATGAAAAAAGCATTAACCATTCATTGGCCCTTGACAGTCAAAGCTAATCTTGTGTACATTTTGGCAACAGTGAAGTTCTGCCTTTTCCCTTAGTCTGTTTTATAAACCACCTGTTTCTTCTAGGGTTTTTTTTTTTTAAAGATTTTATTTGTTTATTCATGAGATACACACAGAAAGAGGCAGAGACACAGGCAGAGAGCTCCATGCAGGAAGCCTGACGTGGGACTCCATCTGAGGACTCCTGGATCACACCCTGGGCCAAAGGCAGGTGCTAAACTGCAGAGCCACCCACGTGTCCCTCTTCTAGGGTTTTAAGACAGATTAAGGGAATTGGCTACTGAATCCTACGATCAGTGAGCTCCTGCTAAGTCTTTTGAGATCTCATATAAAGCATAAATTATTTTGAGATTCATATTTCCACCTACAACAATTTTCTCTTCTGGATCAAAATGACTAGGCTAGTCACTGTTAGAATCCCTTTCATGACCCCCAGAACCTTGCAGCAGAGAAAGGAGCTGGCCCAGAGCAGCAAGAAAAGGGCTGAATAACATAGGCTCCTATGTTTGTGTAACACCCAAATGCAGGATGTAGGAGCTAAGGGGAGGCCTACAGTGGGGGGTAAGTATCAAGGGAATTATATTCTGTAGGAGAAAAGCCTCTTTACCTGATAATTTTTCCCTGATCAAGAGCCCTTAAGACATTTTGAAGAAATTTCTCTCTTCACTGCAGTGTGTGTCACTTATTTAGCTGACTTCAGAATTCTTACTTTCAACTCTCTTTGTGATTTCTCATTCTAAAAATAGAGACCTGGAACCTATAGGATTTGGGCATGGATGTGGATCAGTGTGTCTCTTCATTTATGCAACCATCTTGTCTTCTAGCTCACTGTGGGTCTAGGAGCTTAGGCAATTTGATGCTGCCTGCAAAAAGTGGAAGCAGAGATAATGGCAGGATGGGGAGACACCACTTTGAGGTTTAAACAGATAATTTGAAACACACAGGATCAGATGTTGCAAAACCAACTGCATGTCCGGAGTGAGGTGCTAAAGAGATACGGAGTGGCCAAGGGCTGCAGTTCAGTAGGAGGAAAACAGCCTGGATATGTATTTCTGTGTGCATTTTCTGAGGAGGGTACTCACTGGGTGGATGGTGCGGGGACTTCAGGCCTCAGGACTTCCTTGCTTTGTGGTTCACCTTGACTTTGCCTCAGCTTCAAACCTCACCAGCCACATGGACTCCACACTGCTCCAGGTGGACCTGGCAGGGGCGCTGGTGGTGGCTGGTGGCCCAAGTTACACCAGCAGAGAAGAACATGTCGTGGTGGAAGTGACCCAGGCTGATGTTCCAGGCTCCAGGCGGCGGCGGCCACAGCAGGTTATACTTACAAGTTATTTGAAAGGAATTGTAAAAACTCATTTAATCTCTTTATAAATCGAGTTTCCTTTTGAGTAGATTTGATGGGAAGCCATAAGGGAATGGCACTGTTATTAGGCAAGCCCTATCTTTTGCTTTGTCTTTGAAATTTTCTTTTCTCCTTTTGTCTAAGACAACTCTTACCATTGTAGTAAAATCAAGCTTGTAAGTTTTTAAATTCAGATTATTTTGCTGGACAATTCAGGGAATTATTATATATTTGAAAGTGGTTTTCTGTTGTTAAAGCACAATTAAACCTGGGCTTTCCTATGGCACAGAAGATATTTCAACAGCACAGTTCCTTTGGGCTTGGGGACACTTGGCTCAGACTTGCATAGTTTCCCAAAGCTTCTGCTTCTAAAGTGGTAGACTCTTGTGCTTAGCATCTTCTAGACAAAACCCTTTTTCTCCCATCCTTCCAAGGCAAGGAGAGGCAGCAGTGGTGTTGTCACCATGGCCCAGAGTCCAGATAAGGTCTGACAGTCCTCTGTATGTCCTGACCTGTCTCCCAAGTCCTGGGCTTGATGACTCCCCAGGATTATCATAGTGACTTGTGTATGAAGTTCAAGGGTTTTCCCTCTTATAATCAATAAAAGGAACTGGTGCACAATGCTGTGTCATCCAAAATGGTGCACCTCTCACATTTTCCTGCCTTGCAGAGCAGGGTCCACAGAGCAAAGGCCTCAATATGAATGAGGCTGCGGTTTCATGGGTGATAGTCTGTGCCTCACCAGTGTTCTAACCAGTTGCCTTGGCTGTGGTCTTAGGATGTAAACTTGGCCTCCTTGTGTGCAGTGCACAGTTGGCTGGCAAGGATTTCTTGGTAAAGGCGAGGTGGGCACACATCTGTCTGCTCTGTCTGTGGGTCTGGTGTGGAGGAAGATGTGACCTTTTGCAGCCTGCAGACATAGGTGCTGCCCAAGAGGCGGTATTGAGCTATTCTGCTCTAATGCGCACATTCATGCCTTGATCAATTTCAGAGTTCCTATTTTCATTTGCTTTATGATTAGGGGCAGCAAAGCTCCAGTCCTCCATTAAAGTTTCCTTGGTCCCTTGGCTACTTAAGCCAGGCCTTCGCTTTCTGCTCACATCTGGCCCCCCTCCACTGATTTCTCCATTATCCTGCTTAGAACAGGAATATGTGGGGTAGATTTGCCTGCAGCAAAGGAAGCTTCATCCTTGGGTCCTACCTCCCATGGGGTCCTGTGACATGGGTATGGGTATGGAGAGCTTTCTTCTTCCAGCTTGCAAGCAGGAAGCAGTTCTAAGCAAGTACTTCTTGTGAGTTGCCTCAGAAGGCTCAGAAGATCCCAAGTCTCTCATAAAGTGCAGTGATTTTTTTCTCCTAATAAATCATATTTACTTCTATACCCTTGTGCCTTTTACACTAATTCTGTTTTTGTACTCTGTATTCTTTTTTTTTTCCTTGAAGCCATCTACATTGTGGAAATTGCCAGTTCCACACAGCTTGTATATGCTCTAGTGTCAGGGATGTGGGAGCTGTATAAAAAGTCCTTGCTGTTCCTCTTTTTCTTCTTTTCTTCTTCTAAACTAACACCTACACTGAATAGTGCTGAATCCTGGGTGATGGTTCAGATTCAAAGCCTTACTGTGATATTACATTTCAATTTTTACAGGTCACTCAGAATTGGACAGTATTTTTAAATCCAAGAAGAAGTGAGCGCTTGGTGGTGAGCAGGACCTTTGAGATGCTGAGCAGGTGGGTCTGAAGTGATCAAAGATCTTGGGGGAGGACTTTTGGAACATTCTCACTTACAAAGTTTGGCTCGTGGGACTCCAATTTCTGGCACAAATAGGCAGATCAGCTTTGCGGTCTGGATGGGATGCTCCAACTGTACAGTCTATGAACATGAAGAATGTAGTAGGGCATCATTAACCACAAGTGTCAGGAAATGAGGATTGATTACAGGGTCCATTCTGAAGCAAATGGTATTTTATAGTTGATGTTTTAATTTCATTAATATTATAAAGCTCTACAATGGGGAATTCTAGGAAATTTTAGGATTCTTTCTCTTTTTCTTCAATGCCACTCCATATTGAGTTTGCTAAGCCTGCTATAACAAATACCACAGACTGCATGACTTAAACAGTAAAAGTTTATTCCCTCAAGGGTTCTGGAAGGTTTGTCTCTTCAGAGTACTCTCTCCTTGGCTTCTTGTTCCTATGTTTTCACGTGGACTTTTCTGTGTGTGTGTGTGTCTGTCTGTCCCAGTCCCTTCTTATAAGGACACCAGTCACACTAGTGACCTCATTTTAGCTTAATCATCTCTGTAAAGACTCTATCTCCAAATATAGTCACATTATGAAGTATTGAGGGTTAGGGTGTCAACATCTATATTTTGTAGGGACACAGTTCAGCTCAGAATAGTTACTGACTAAATTTTTAGAAAAGTGCTTTAGTTTCACCATGCCACATACTGTTGATTACTTGGATGTTTCTTGTTCCAGGTACTTTTCCCAAATATCTATGACAACCTGTCTACATGTTCTCAGGTTGAATATGGCCTTTTTTGAATCTCCATCATGTGAGAATGGTTGTATTTGCTATTTTTAGCAGGCAAAGCAGTCAGTGTGTGATGAGGAGAGAGAAAATTAAATGGCTAGAACCAGTATGAAAGTCCTTGCTCCCTGTTAATTGTTGGAGTGGCACCTGCCAGATGAGGGCTGAGGGGCCCACATCAGATGGACCTGGCCACAGGGAGGCTGTGTCTGCATCTCAACTGCTCATATGCACTTAGAACTCCTCGTCTGCCAGGTTAGACTTTGGGTTAGATCACTTTGGGGTCAGTTTGAACTCTGGATGACTTGTGTTGGAAAGGACACCAAGGAAGCAAGCATTAATTGTTGACATAGAGATTGGTTTCCCTTACCAGTGGTGATATCTTTGCTTCATTCTGCAGAGATACTGTTTCTATCAGCATTCGAGCCTCCCTCCAGCAGACACAGGCAGTTCCTCTTTTGATGGCTCATCATTACCTCCGTGCAAACATAGAAACACAAGTGACTATTGCTGTGGTCATCCTTGCTGGGGTCTACATGCTGATTATATTTGAGGTAACTTTCATGCCAGCTCTCTAAGACTTATCTGGGCTCACAGGTAAGTATCTTTCAACATGTGGGTGCTCCAGATGGGCTCAGTTCTGCTTTTAATCAAACTGTAATGGCATCTTTCCTAAAAAGGAAGATTTCCATCATTCTAGGTAGAATATTGATCTTACTGGAATATTTGCTGAATCTTGGCAACTGACACATGCAAGATGAGTTTTAGTGGGCCCCTGCAAAAGTTTACCTGAGAAAACTGTATATGTACATGATTTTCTCACCCTCACTCTGCCGTTCACTTGAAGTGTGATGCTGAGGGGGTAAGTGTTGAACCTCTCTGAGATGCACATTAAAATGCCCCCTATTTGCTTCATAGGATTGTGTGTATTATAGGGAATGAAGAGACCTTGGGCTTTATGGGGGGCGGAATTACTATTTGTGATGTGTATCAACTCAGCTAATGAACCTTTTCACAAGTGATCTCATATCTTATAAATTTCATGTTTCTGGGAAACTAAGTGCGGCTCTACCTTTAATAGCATGCAACAAAGTACAGACACTGCCTGGGTGGGCTGGTCCATTGTTAATTTAATCATTAAACCAGGTGTACAGCAACACGTTCATGGGAATCTTGGCTCCAGTAAGTTGAGCTTGGAAGGTCCGTAGAGGATGTGATTCTGAAGATGTACTTCTTCATGAGTGTAGGATAAGTATGGGAAATGCCTTGGAGTTGTCAAGGAAATGGCCTGCAGAAGTGGCCAGGAAATTCCAGAAGATTTTCTTTCCATGGTTGTCTAGTCTACCTGATGAGAAATGTTTGCTCCAGTAAGTTGAGCCTAAAATTCCAAGATCCAATCATTGGTTTAGTTGTTAGATCTCTTATGTCTTTTTAATTTCAGCATAACTCTATTCTCTACATTATTTTCCTTTTTACCTCTCAATCAATATTGTGTTTCTGGATTTCTTTGAACACCTATACACTGTGATCTTCTAGAAAGACTCACAGATTCAGAGGCAGCTGTGCCCTGTCTGGGCTGTGGTTTATTACCATTACCAGCAGTGGGAAAAGCCTTATCAGAGAATCTGGGAGAGCCCAGGAGCAGGGTTTCTTTCGCTTAAGAGGCCACATAGAACATGCATCACATGCCCTCCTTAATGCCCATCACCCAGTTACCCCATGCCCCACCTATCTCCCCTCTAGCAACCCTCAGTTTGTTCCCTATAGTTAAGAGTCTCTTGTGGTTTATCTCCCTCTCTGATTTCATCTAATTTTATTTTTCCACTCCTTCCACTATGTTCATCTGTTTTGTTTATTAAATTCCACATCTGATACTTGTCTTTCTCTGACTGACTTGTTTTGCTTAGCATAATTCCTTCTAGTTCCATCCACATCATTGCAAAAGGCAAGATTTCATTCTTTTTGATGGCTGAGTAATATTCCACTGTATGTATATGTGTGTGTATGTATGTACACACATATATACATACACACACATGACTTCTTCTTTCTCCATTTATCTGTCAATGGAAATCTGGACTCTTTCTGTATTTTGGCCATTGTGAACATTGCTGCTGCAAACATTGTGGTGCAGGTGCCCCTTTGAATCATTATGTTTGTATCCTTTGGATAAACTTGTAGTACTACAATCGCTGGGTCATAGGGTAGCTCTATTTTTAACTTTTTGAGGAACCTCCACACTGTTTTCCAGAGTGGCTGCACCAGTTTGCATTCCCACCAATAGTGTAAAGGAGTTCCCCTTTCTCTGCATCCTTGCCAACATCTGTTGTTTTTGGAGTTGTTAATTTTAGCCATTCTGACTTATGTGAGGTGGTATCTCATGGTGGTTTTGATTTGGATTACCCTGATGCTAAGTGACGTTGAGCATTTTTTCATGTGTCTGTTGGCCATTTTTTAAAAAAGATTTTATTTATTCGAGAGAGAAAGAGAGCAAGAGTTCTTTGAGAAAGAGTGAGCAGAAACAGGGAGATGCAGGAAGAAGTAGACTCCCTATTGAACAGGAAGCCCAACACAGGGCTCAATCCCAGGACACTGGGATCATGATGTGAGCCAAAGGCAGATGCTTAATTGACTGATCCACTCAGGCATCCTTCTGTTGGTCATTTATATGTCTTTTTGGAGAAATGTCTGTTCGTGTCTTCTGCCTATTTCTTGATGGATTATTTGTTTCTTTGTTTGTTTTGGTGTTGAGTTTGAAAAGTTCTTTATAGATTTTGAATACTAGCCCTTCATCTAATTAGTCATTTGCAAATATCTTCTCCCATTCCATAGATTGCCTTTTCAGATTTCCCAAATGTTTCCTTTGCTGTGCAGAGCTTTTTATCTTGATGAAGTCCCAATAGTTCATTTTTGCTTTGTTTCCCTTGCTTTTGGAGACCGGTCTAGCAAGAAATTGCTGTAGCTGAGATCGAAGAGGGTTGCTGCCTGTGTTCTCCTCTAGGATTTTGATGGATTCCTGTCTCACATTTAGGTCTTTCATCCATTTTGAGTTTATCTTTGTGTCTGATGTAAGAGAATGGTCCGGTTCCATTCTTCTGCCTGTAGCTGTCCAATTTTTCCAACACTATTTGTTGAAGGCACTGTCTTTTTTCCATTGGATATTCTTTCCTGCTTTGTTAAAGATGAGTTGACTATAGAGTTGAGGGTCCATTTCTCGGTTCTCTATTCTGTTCCATAATCTCTGTCTGTTTTTGTGCTAGTACCATACTATCTTGATGATTACATCTTGGTAATACAGCTTGAAGTCTGGCATTGTGATGACCCCAGGTTTGGTTTTCTTTTTCAACATTCCTTTGGCTATTTGGGTTTTTATTGTAGTTCCATAGAAATTTTAGGATTGTTTGTTCAACTCTGTGAAAAATGTCCATGCTATTTTGATAGGGTTTGTATTTAATGTGTAGATTGCTCTGGGCAGCATAGACACATTTCACACATTTCATTTTTTTTTATGATAGTCACAGAGAGAGAGAGAGAGAGGCAGAGACACAGGCAGAGGGAGAAGCAGGCTCCATGCACCGGGAGCCCGACGTGGGATTCGATCCCGGGTCTCCAGGATCGCGCCCTGGGCCAAAGGCAGGCGCCAAACCGCTGCGCCACCCAGGGATCCCCACACATTTCATTTATTGTGAAAATTCACAATATTTGTTCTTCCAATTCATGAGCCTAGAATGTTTTGCCACTTTTTTGTGTCCTCTTCAATTTCTTTAATAAGCGTTCTATAGTTTTCAGAGTACAGATCCCTTACCTCTTTGGTTCCCAAGTATCTTGTGGTTTCTGGTACAATTGTAAATGAGATTTATTTCTTGATTTCTGCTTTGTTGCAAAAGACTTCTGTGCATTGATTTTATATCCTGCAACTGCTGAAATTTTGTATCAGTTCTAGCAATTTTGGGGTGGATTAATTCAAGTTTTCTATATAGAGTATGATGTCTTCTGTAGAGAGTGAGAGTTTGACTTCTTTGATAATTGGTTGCCTTTTATTTCTTTTTGTTGTCTGATTGCTGAGGTTAGGACTTCCAGTACTATGTTGAACAATAGTGGTGAGAGTGGACATTTCTTTTCTTTTTTTTTAAGATTTTATTTATTTTTATTTATTCATGAGAGACACACACACAGAGAGAGAGAGAGAGAGAGAGAGAGAGAGGCAGAGACACAGGCAGAGGGAGAAGCAGGCTCCATGCAGGGAGCCCTACATGGGACTGGATCCCGGGACCCCAGGATCACACCCTGGGCAGAAGGCTGCGCTAAACTACTGAGCCACCCGGGCTGCCCGAGAGTGGACATTTCTGTCATGTTCCTGACCTTATGGGGAAAAACTCTCAGTTTTTCCCCATTGAGGATGATATTTGCTGTGTGTCTTTTATACATGATTTTATGATATTGAGGTATGTTCCCTCTTTCCTTAGCCCAAAGAGAGTTTTTTTTTAATCAAGAAAGGATACTGTATTTTGTCAAATGCCTTTTCTGCATCTATTGAGAAGATCATATGGTTCTTGTCCTTTCTTTTATTATTATGGTGTATCAGACTGATTGATTTGTGGATGTTGAATCACTCTTGCAGCCCAGGAAGAAATCCCATTGGTCATGGTGAATAATGCTTTTAATGTATTGTTTTTTTTTTTAAGATTTATTTTTTATTTATTTATGATAGACATAGAGAGAGAGAGGCAGAGACACAGGAGGAGGGAGAAGCAGGCTCCATGCCGGAAGCCCGATGTGGGTCTCGATTCCGGGACTCCAGGATCACGCCCTGGGCCAAAGGCAGTTGCCAAACCGCTGAGCCACCCAGGGATCCCCCTTTTAATGTACTGTTGGATCCAATTAGCTAGTATCTTGGTGAGAATTTTTGCGTCCATGTTCATTAAGGATATTGGTCTGTATTTCTCCTTTTTGGTGGAGTGTTTGTCTGGGTTTAGGATCAAGGTAATGCTGGCTTCATAGAATGAGTTTGCAGGTTTTCCTTCCGTTTCTAATTTTCTGAAGTTTCAGAAAAATAGGTACTAATTCTTCTTTAAATGTTGGCTAGAATTCCCCTGGGAGCTCATCTGGTCCTGGACTCTTGTTTGTTGGAAAATTGTTGATTTTTGCTTCAATTTCTTTGTGGGTTATGGGTCTGTTCCGACTTTCTATTTCTTCCTGTTTCAGTTTTGGTAGGTTACATGTTCCACGAATGTATCCATTTCTTCCAGATTGCCTAATTTGTTGGCATAGAAGTGCTCAGCATATTCTCTTATAATTGTTTAAAGTTCTGCAGTGTTGGTTGTGATCTCTCTTCTTTCATTCATGATTTTATTTATTTGGTCTTTTCTCTTTTCTTTTTCATAAGTCTCGCTAGGAGTTTATCAATCTTATTAATTCTTTCAAGGAACCAGCTTCTAGTTTTGTTGATCTGTTCTACTATTCTGATTTCTATATCATTGATTTCTAATCTTTATTATTTTTCTTCTCCTGCTGGGTTTAGGCCTTATTTGCTGTTCTTTTTCCAGCTCCTTTA